AAAGAGGAAAACATGTCGCGTACGTTCACAGCCCAGAAGCAGACCTGGATAAATTCATCGCAATTATGCAGCCTCTGTGCGTGCCAGGTTGTGCAAGACTCTGACGTCAGGCAAATCTCCATAAAGGCTCAGATGTGTGTTGTTGTTGTTGTTTGCAAACCCAGTTGACGCTGACTTGTTGTTCGCTCCTGGGTTTTGAGAACAGAGCAAGGTTTATTTTTCCCACATACGCTGCAACGTTGCCTATCGGACCTGCTGGTCGACTGAGGCACCGTATAGGCAGATAAGTGAAAAGATTGGTTACGTGAACATTTTCGGAAAATATCGGTCAGACCGTGTATGCACATACGTGACATTTACTGTTTATGTATTTTTTCCCAAAGTTTGTCATCATTAGCCAAACGTGGATAGTGATAGTGGTTGACATTGTGATATGATTTTACTGATACATTTATGATCATGGCATTATATAAAGTAATAGCAGTATTATATTTATATTGGCCATTATAGAGGGTGTTGCATTATATGTTTACATATTATTCTGCCACAAATTAATCTGAGCTATACTGTAGCGAGAACATAATTAATTCAGAATATGGACAACCCCATGCCAAGTTATTTTGGATACTTGTACTTGCCATATTTGCTTTAACCTGTTAAAAATGATGCGTGATTATGATGAGTTCCCAGGAACTAGAAGCCACTACATTCACTACATCGTTAAAAAAAAGAATGATCATTTAATCGAATCATGACCATGATTTGCAGCATTCAATGAATGGCAATAGACGTGAAATGTATTGCCCCTATTAACGTAAAGTGTTGAGCACGCTGCACCAACCCTTTGACCGAAGTTAAATTCCAGGCCGCGACTTGCAACAGTGGCAACTGATATCTCCCCTCCTCTCCGTTTCACCATCTCACATTAACCAGAGTAGTGAAGTATAGTCAAATCCCCTTAGGTTCGGCATGGCATGAGGAGACTCTGTATCCATTGGTGGATGGAAAATTATTGTATCTACACGTACTTGTTAATACACTGCCTTTCCACAGTGTACTTATTGTTCATATATAAAGCTTGATTATACAGCTGGATTATACAGCATGCTTGTACTTACGTGCATGTTTTTTTCTTTGTAGAAATATTTTCATTTCTTTTTAAATATTTGGGGTCATACTGCACTTGGTTTGCAAAACATTTTTAACACTTGGAAAAATACCTCTTTTTTATTTCATCAGTAATGTTTTCATTACAGAACATAGTTCTAAATAAAAATCTTGTGCGTATTAAGTGTTTTTTTCCTCCCCTAACTAAACTGTATTATTCATTCCCACATGCCCCCTAAGGTATTATTCATTCCCACATGCCCCCTAAGTTAGCATTAAGTGCTGTGCTCTATTTAAAGAAGGTGGACTGAGTATATGTTTGTACAAAGTGATGCTGTCTGCTCTGTGTCTTTCTAATCGCGAAGGTCGCTCAGTCACAACAGTACAGACCTTGCACCAACCACAGGCCTGGCTCTGTCTTCAGCTGCAAATAATTATTTTTCACAGTTCATACATCACTTTAAATTAACTTTCCCACAAGACAGCTTACATTCTTTCCTATTTCCTTTATTAATGACAGACTGATAAGCTGCACGGTTTATTTTGCAAATGGAACATTTTTGTGGAGTAGCATAGTAACTTTGCATGATAAAAATAGCCTGATGTTTAATATACCGTTTTGTAGTACTTTGAAGTGCATCAAGTCCAATACTTAACTACATTCAATGGATTTGTTCCGGAAGTTGTATTTGTGATGAAGATTTTATCTACGACAAATGCTGAACAGAATGTGGTTGGTATAGACAAAGCAATGTTGGCACTGCTGTTGTCTCGAATCAGCGTTATTCAGTATTTGCTTTTAAAACACTGCGATAATAATTGTATTAACTTAAGGTCACCACTGTGGTGCAGTAACCCATGAAAGCACAGCGGCTGTTTTGACAAAAGTATTTTGATAATTATTCATTCATCTATATTATGTAGAGAAAAAAAACACATTTAGGTCAATGATTGTAAATAGAAAAGTGTGTTAAGAAGCATGGGCAGATGCTGGCTTTGAATTACATGAAGAAACAGAAAGAGATACACGTAGATTATAAAACATATACAGGTAGTCCCCGACTTACGAGGGAGATGCGTTACGACGACCCCATCGTAAGTCGGGGACTACCTGTACAGGATAACGACATTAAAACTGTTAAGTAACATAAGTGGTCTTGGATGGAATACATCCCTAGATGGCAAAAAAAAATATCTTTGGAGACCGGGAGATTGATGATCGATGTTCAATCGCCACGTTGATGCCATTCGTCATGATTTCTCACTTCACAAAGTGGGCCACATGAAGGCTGAATTTCCATTCCAAAATTTTTTAACCAGCACCTATCGTTATTTCTGAAATGCACACTTACGGGCGGACTCTCCGCTTCGCAAGTTGCTAGTAAAATATACCTGCACAGTGGCGGAGGTTGAAAGGGTAACATTTTATGACAAAATCTGGCTCTGGTATGGAAACTAGCCCTACTGACAATCATCCCTTGTGAATTGTTACATCTGCCATGGATATTCGCCAAGTCGACGATTTTGTATATTTTCACAGTTGTGCTGTATACCACGTGTTTTTTTGGCAACTAGCAAGCTTGGTGATGCAAAGCATAGTACTGTACGTACAATGATATATTTTTTTGCTCAGTGGCACAGGTTTAGTTATTGTGTAAAAGGAAAAAACCCCAGGAAATAAACAAGCCATGTTGGATGTCTGCCGCGCATTGAGGCATTCTACTCAAGGTGACCTCCACAGGAGCTATATAACACACGTAAAGTTGTACCACGTGTTGTTCGGCACGTGATGGTCTACATTTCGCTCCACCTTGCTGGGAGCTTCTTCAGTTCCTGTCCAATGTTTTTCTCCAACTATTCACTCCAACTTTTCACTCCAATGTTTTGCTCCACATGTCGAGCTCTCAGCAACTGCCCTGACGAAGCTCCTAGTAAGTGGTGCAAAAAACACATAGGGCATCATTCCAAATAAATCGGAGTAAAACCCAACATCGCATTGAAGAGCTGTTTGTGAGGTCTGTTGATGAACCTATACAAAACCGCTGGTCCTTGGTGTAGATATATGCTATGAATTTTGGCACACCAGAAGAGGCATGAATGTAAACCATTTCCTTGATGCAAATCCGTCATGATGAGCCAACTCTGTTAAAATGCTGCCTGATGTGGTTTATATATCTGCTGTGGAAGCAACTTGACTAAACTGCCTCACTGCAAGGCAGACAACCAACGTGGGCTGGTTATTTTCCTGGGGCTTTCTATTGCACACAATAACTCAATCTGTGCCACTCAGCTATATATATATCATTGCACGATGCTTTGCATCATCAGGCGTGCTAGTTCAATCCAGTGTAATACCACTTCACCCCCGACTGGTAAATTATCAGATTTTCCCACTTCAGCTGCTCTTATGATCTGAATGGTCTCAGGGCCCTCCAAACTGTTGATGATGTGGCAGTCGCCTGACTCGGCAAGGCGAGCATCAGATACGAACAATTATATAAATAATTAGCCAGAGGAGAGTAGGCCACCATAAGAGTGAGAATGATAATAAGCGATGGATGATCGTGAATACGCTCATTCATAAAGACTGCTTTTGGGCATAGAGGGATATCATTAAATAATTAAGGTTTACTGAAATTATTAAATGAAGTATATAAATTGATTGCTGAATCATTTAAATTACAGACCCCTTTTTAATCCACAACTAGATGACGGCCTTCCCGCACCATGTCAGTTGCGGGGGTCGTTTGCATCAGGTATCACTCACCGCTCAAGTCAGCCCATGGTGAGGAACTGAACTCAGGAGACAGGTTTATAGTGAAATTCATGCACCATTGCACTAACTGTTCCAATAATAGTCTCTAGGTTTGCTTACCAGCTGTGATGTGAAGCTCAAATGGCCATTATGGTGTTCATCAATGCGGTATTTTGCAATGAATGACGTAAACTCTATGAGGATTTGGGAAAAAGGCACTTAAATAGACTATTTGCATCGGATGGAATTCCATCAAGTCAATATCGCGCCTGCAATGAACCCCATAGATGCATCCGGCACGTTTTTTTGATCGAGCACGAAAGGTTTGCGCTCGAGTCGGTCTTTTGAAACGGACTCGTGGCCAACACACTTTGGTGTCAGACAACCTGACACTGACATAACTACTCCGAGGCTCTCTCCTGTGGCTGCACCTGCCATGTATCAGATCGTTGTGTCACGTGCATTACTCACAAATGAGTGATTTGGGTTGCTTGCGCTCCAGTCAGTCTACATGTCAGAACATGGCATGTGAATGGCGTGTGCCAATCGCCTCTGCAAGAGCTGTTAGAACACAATAGTTTTAAATGCCAATTTTATATGCATTGTTTCAAAGCTGCACACCTATATTCTCCAATATCCAACCATGTATGAAAACGCTTTATTTAACTGGAGGTCATGTAATAATTCAGGCTGGTAGATGCCATTTGGCCCATAATCGAGTCTTGTGGGTTAGGTTATCCTGACTTGATTGCGCAATTTGTGTTCATGCATCACTACGCTGTTTGTGAATAAAGTTCATTATGAGTGCAGGTTTTTAACGTTGTAGACTGATGACACCATTCTGTACCCACTTGTCTAGTACGTAACCTGTGTGTGTGTTCCATTCCTGTCGACCCATACGGTTTACCCATATTCTTGTACAGGGAAATTGAGTTTTCAAGTCCATACGGTGTACAGCCGTTTCAATACGGGCAAAAAAACGAATTTGTTTATTTGTTTGTGTTCCTCCCTTGTCATGAGACTTTGTACAATGAGCGTTGAGATATATAAGGGCACGGGGTGACCAAAAATGTCTGAATTGTTCTGTAATAAGGTACTGATAAGGGGTTGACGGGTATTGGTGTTCATTCCATTGCAGTGATCCTCTGCAGCTCCAGCAGCTGCACAATCAGGTACTGTTGGAGCAACAGGAAGCTTTCCTCCTCTCGCACCATCAACAGCTGCCATTTCCACCTCCACCGGCGGCTTTCCTGCAGTCCCCGACCACGCCGAGCCAACCTCCTGTAGCAGAGACAGCGGTGCCACCGCCGCCACCAGCCCCACCAGCCCCACCAGGGCCACCAGCGCCACCGGCAACCACGACGGCAAGCATGAGCCTCGCCAACTCGGCGGCACTGCCGCTAAACCAGCAGCCCAGCCGTGCTTCCGTGGGCCAGCAGTCCTTCAGTTATGCCAGGCCCAAGCAATTCATCGCCGCTCAGAATTTGACCAGCACCATCGTGTCCGCGGGGTCTCCTTCTTCATCTCCTGTCCCGACCAGCCTGAGCCTTTCCCTCCCAGCTCCACCGCCGCCGCCGCCGCAAACCGCTCCGCCGGCAAACAACGCTCACCGGGTGGCTTCCCCGACATTGTCGTCACCGACATTCCTGAACAACAGCAACGCGAAAACCGCAGCAGCCTATTCCCCTCCCATAGCCATGTCGCCGCCGCCCCAGTTCTCGGCAGCCAGCCCCACAGCGCCCGCCACCTACCCGGGCTCCCCACTGGCCCAGCCGGGACACACCTGGTCCTCCCTGCCGCAGTCTCCGCAGTCGCCCCCCACTGTCAGCCCGCCGGCCTCTTTCGTGCAGTCCCCGGCCGCCTTCCTGAGCGCACTGCTGCCGTCCCTGCCCTCCCTGCCACCGACCAACGCCATGGGCCTGCCGAGGGCGGCCCCGTCCACGTAAGGCCGCACGCATCTCAATGGGCCATTGTGTGGGCATGATGAATTGCAGCAATTATTGCGTAAAAATGCGAGTTGTTTGTCCATAATTGAACAGTACTTACATTTTTAGGTGTTTTTTCTCTCGCTTGTTAAACGTTTCCGCTCCATCTGGAGCGCTGTTGTTATTACTGGCCGGGACGCATTTGCATGTAAACTTAACGTGAAATATTTATATATATATTTGAAATGCTGTGGTTGTCATGGTAAGGTGTACAGGAACTCTCATCTAGCTTTCCAGCACGGCATGTTTAAGGGCACCTTTAAAAGTCATGTGAAGTGCCTTTAAGTTGTAGCAATAGCTAACCCAGTTTGTTGACGCACTAAGAGTGTTAAAACACTTTAAATTAAATCAGTGGAGGATAATGAAATCATTAGGTGGCCATTTAACATCGCCCCAACTAATATAAATTGCCTCTCAATTCTTGGCTTCATTTAGTGAACTCTTAGCCAAGTGATTATTGCAGCGCAAGTGGCCCTGGTGCCTCACCGTAACATTCCCCATCACGTTGAGACAGGCAGATGCAGGGCTCGCTCAAGAGGCAGAGCAGGGGCCCACGCTCCGTCAGCGAAGATGACATCCGCGACACGAAGGATGCCCTCATCCAGGACCTGGAGAAGAAACTGCGGTTCAAGGAGGACATATTGCACAATGGGCAGTCGGTAAGCATGTTGCAGTCATCCCGGCTCAACTCGTAAAGGGGGATAACTGCACATGAGATTTATAGCAGTCGAACAGTCGGGGATTCGTAACATGGCAAGCTAAAGGTAAGGTACAAGTTGAGTCCTGCAATTGCTCACCGCTGTTGGTGAAAGGAAATCCACTCGAGAGATCTCTCGATAGAGCCCTTCTACAGGGAATTTGGCCTACTCTTCTATCTTGGTCCGACATCTCAGAAGAGGTGGGAGTACCCACACTTTACACCACAACCACCACACACGGCCTGCTGGTCAATGAACACTGGAAGCGGTACACAATGTAATTATGGTTTAACTCGTGAATTGCTCTGTTAAGGTTCAGCAGATGTGTGTAGTTTCAACACAATAATGTATTTCTCAAGCTGTATTTAATGGGTATATTCATGAATCACCACATTGCATCAGTTCCTGTCTCTGTGAAACCCATTAATTATAATGCATCTTTCTGTATGTTTACCACTGCGTATCAAAAAGTTGGGCTACATTCATATTGACAAATTCCTCAGTCTAAAAATGAAACTCAGAACATCAAGCTTCTGAGATATAAGCTGTTGTTATACCCATGTGGCCACAAAAACCCAGTTGGGGCAAGGTCATGGGAATTTCATACTGCTTTGCTGTTGAAAATAAATTATACTTAATACTTTGCAACCTAAAATAACGACGATTGTCCTCTGGCATGAGTCTAGAGGGATGTTTTATACTAGGAGCCTATCAGTCACGAGTCTCTGGAGAAGTCATGCTGCCAGCCACTGATAATACAAATGCAGGCCAAAAATACACCTGCAGAAACGGCACATTTACCGATGCAGTGCATAGAAATGGTGCATTACTATGTACAAAGGGAAATATCTGTCCCACATAGTTCACAGGGATGTTTACAAAACAATTTCTGTGTGGAATGTGCACAGTTTAACTCATGAATTCGTTGGAGGTGTTTTTTTTTGTATATGTTAAGTTAGATAATATTGATTGTTTTAAAGATGGCAGTCGTGGGCTGGATTTTAAGACACATCCTTGCCTTCTCTTAGAGTCGGGTTTATTACGTTGTAATTATTACTCATTTCAATAACGTTAGATTAGTTAATCGATATTATGTTATACCTTCATCGTTTCTTCAAATGATCTCCCTGTCAATTGAGAAGCAATGCGGTGATTGAAAAGTATATTCCGCATCTTGGTGTTGAGTTGTGTCGTAATTGGAAGCTGGTGACAAATTGGCACTTGAAGTGGTCATCAGTGATTAAAAAAAACTACATGCAATCTGCAATGAATGTAAAGAATGCACTGCAATTACCCACGCACACGCATTTCTTTGTAATTTACTCCTGCGAGTACACTTTGGTAATGTTACCGTCTCCCCGAGGCTGGTTCCTCAGCTCAAGGTTCAATTGTGCGACCAGAAAGTCTTCCGTAACTGAGGGAGCTTTACCTCAATCAATAGTCACTGAGATTTCCGTTCCAGCACAGGTCAAAATAAAAACAAAATGCTTACGTACTTCCTTCATTAGAATCATCATTCGAATCATTCAGGATCTTTCCACTGCTGGATGAAAGCCCCCTCAAGCCATCATCATCATCATCTCGCATGGTTTTGCAATGCAACGATCCATCTCGCTCTTGCACACGGGCTAATTTAACGTCTCCATCTCTGCGGTGGATGTCTTCTTCCACGTGCTCTCTCCTTTTGACTGCCATGCCATTGTTATAGGCTTGGCCACTGGCTACCATCCCTCTTGGAGACCTTTTCTTGCCAAATGGCAAAGTGTTTGCCTTTAACACCGTGAAAGGCCAGTTAAGCAGGCGCGTGTGTGTGCGATATGCAATAATTTGACATCGGACAAAAGCTACAATTATTATATTAATCATTGGAATTGGATGGGACAAAGTGTTGTCTAACATAATTGATTTTAAAGTTATATTCAAAATATAATGTACTGTTCTTATTCACATTCAATATTTACATTGATGCGTTAGGGATTTTTTTTGCATCCATCAATGATATTATCTGCATAAACAGTGCAAATTATTACTTGTGGTACGAGTGGGGCTTTGCTAATGATGCATCTTCTCGTGAAGTATGGCTTCTTTTAAACCAATAGCGTCTCCTAATCTTGTTATATCTATAAAAATAATAATATAAACAGATCGCTGCATATTCTTAGCTCTTTCGGTAAAGTCACGTTGAAGGGAAACAATAAAATATATATATAAAACAATAAAAATTCTCACGACGTTTCGACCGTGACACAAACGGTCATCATGAGCACGTGGAAGAAGACATCATGACCGTTTGTGTTATGGTCGAAACGTCGTGAGAATATTTATTGTTTTATATATATTTTATTATTTTATTGTTTCCCTTCAACGTGACTTTACCGAAAGAGCTAAGAATATGAATTACTGCAGTCACGAAAGCTTTAAATCAAAATTTAGATCGCTGCATATTAAAATGTATTACATGAGATAAAAAAAAGAATTATTTCTCCAACTGGTTTCAACTTGGAAATGTTTAAGAAGTTCATGTTTATATACTAAGGGTTGTCACAACTTGCAGTTCGTGACTACCTTTTATTCTTAGCTTTTCAACTCTGCCATAGACTGAGATTACAGCACCTTACACCGCTCTTGCAAATCAGACTGTCCTGGTCTCTTGAGTTCTCATCTGGTTCGACAAATTAAACTTGACCAACTCTTGTAACTAAAGCTCAACACATTTGTCAATAAATCACCAAAATAATACATCACAAAATAATTGATTCAATTTTGTGCTTAAAACAGTAATTTCAAGCTGTAATTTATTCTTTCCATCATAAAGTTTTTTTAAAATTAATTTGCGGTTTTAGAATTATGTACGATAGCAATGGTCATGTCAAATTCACTGGGAAAGACTGAATGCTGCACATGTATACGCAGCATGTGTCAGATCATTTGTAACAGTCTACATTTGTTTAACTAATAATCGCCACGTGTTTTCAATTGGGAGTTCAGATTGTGGGTGATTTTGAGGAATTAACACAGTGCCTTCTGACTTTTTTGTAAGGAGTGTGTTAAACAAATGAGATTTTAATAGTTGCGAAGTAATTGCTCGTGCAATATTGAGAACTCTCATTTGTAAGAGTGATCTCAAATAAAAGCACAACAACACATCGAGGAGTAATCGGAGGGGAAAAAAACAACCAAGTAGAAATCAGAGTCAAAAGAATCACATTACAGAAGAAATCTAAAATACTGTTTGCTTGACAGAGGGTTGTAACAAGCAATATATTTATTTTTTACAATTATTTCCAAAATCTAATTTTAAAAAATGTGCTCCTTTTATGTTTTTGTATGTCAGCTGTGGTCTGTGATATGTCACTTTTCTGTGTTGTTTTTTGTTAATGTGATGCCACTGTAAGAAAGATTCCCACGATATATTTTAAGATGGGATTGTTTTCTGATGTAAATTATAGCTTTTTATTTTATATATATGGGAAAAATATATGTACTCAGAATTTTTTTATTGTTGAAAGCGTAGTAGATTTTTGGATTATTACACCACAGGATCATGCGAGATGAAAATAGCCTGGAGAAGAATTTATCAAGCAGTGGCTGATGGTGATGATAATGATGTTTGAATAGCTGAACGCTGAATAGGTTTTATCGAGGTGCAATCAGATAAACAAGTCTGCATCTAACCGTATAAAACTACTACACAACACTGATCAACCTACCTCGAGTAGGACTAGGTCCCTTCATGTCTTGTGACCTGCTACGCTTATCCAAGTGGTGAGCACTCTTTGGCTGATTGCACGTTGTCATGCGGCTTGCCAGGTGATGAGAAAGCTTGCTTTCCTTGAGCCACCCCATCTGCTGAATAAAAGCTTGAATTCAATGGCCATCTATGATGTGCATCGAAAAATGCGACACATGCCTCATGAAAACAACAGCCCGTTTTCCAGTGTGTCTGACCTACTCCCCCCCCCCCCCCCCCCATCTCTCTTCAGCACTGACACTGTGATTTGTTGCCGATCACTGGCTGTCCCCCTCAGCTTTCAAGCATGGGGCGCCAAGCTGTCCTCCTAACGCTTGCCATGCTCCTCGCCTTCTTCATCCTCCCCACCTCCTCCACGCATCCCCTGTTTGTCAGAGGCTGACGTATGAGGAAAAGATGGCTCGCAGGCTTCTTGGACCAAACAGCACCGCTGTTGTTTTTCAAGCCGACGAGCCCGAAGAGCGTGATGTCGAGGCACAGGTACAAAATCTGGATGCTCTTTTTTTTTCTCTTCTACGAGGTGCAGTTATTACAAGCTTTGAAATGAGAGATGCTCATCGTTTTCACAACCGCCGTCATTATTTACCGTAACCCCTTTGACACGCCCGTCATCCAAATTGAAAAGATCTGTCATCGATGGGAATCCCAATATTGAAAGCGGTGTTATGAGTCTGTATGTAACTTTTGATATCTCATTTTTAGAGCCTTGTGACCACGCCTATTTTTTCGCTCCTATATTTCTATATATATAAAAGTAATTAAAGCGACATTTCACCAACAGAGGTAGATCCAAAATCCCTCAACAGAGCACAGGGGAATGCATGCCCCGTGTCTTAATCTTGAACTGAAAACATCTTTTTAAAAAAACATAAAGCAGGACCCTCCTGAAAAAGAGGCCTTGAACTTAGTGTGGCTTCCCTCAATGAAGAAGTGATAATAATTAAGTGACCTAAAGCAACTTTGTCCAAACAAAATATTCTGAATGCCTTTCTAAGAAATACCTGAAACTCTACGATCATTTTGAGTATTGTGGATTTCAGTTGTAAACTAGAGCCCTTTTATGCTTCTAATTTTAAGGACAAATTATGGTTGTCTTACCCATTGACTGAAACTGTTTGATTGATGCCAGGTTTTCTGCATCATTCGCTTGTTGCTTGAGTGATTTGTTTTCATGGAAATTATTTGGTTGGTCAGGACCATACACAGCTCACTGAAGTCACTGCTTTCGTTAAAACATCTCCCAGTTCCTGATTGCACACCATTTTTCATGAATCCACTCGAGACAATTTTTATCAACTATATTTATTCGCTGGTAGTTTTTGCCTTCAGCCGTATCCTGGCGTCACTCCCAAGAACCAAAATGATTGCGCACGTGCCACCCACCAAGACAGCCGCTCATCCTCATCATACCTGGGTTCGCATCCGCTCCCAAGCAGCACAGACGTGTTTTCTATTCGACACTGACATGCCAGCCACCGTGCCTGCCATTAACCCTGTGCCCCCTCCCCGGTCTCGTTTGGTGCTGTGCAGCTGTGTGACTCGTCTCACCATTTTGTTTTTTTCCCCCTCGTCCTCGCAGGACTTTAAGTCTGTGATACAGGCAGCCCGGGAGTCTCTTGGTAAACAACAGGTTAAAGGAACTTACTGTTTACCATTTTACTTCCATTCAAAATACTCTATGCTGGCTTGTAGATGAGAGACCTGTCTCTTGGGCCCATAGATTGTGCACTTAACGCAATGTCAAGACAGATGTACATGGGGGCACTTTCAAACACAGAGTAAAACCAGCTGCAGAGCATTCTACCATTGTCACGTCATGTACAGGGAAGCAACATTAAAGCTATATTCTTGGTTCTTTCGGTAAAGTCACGTAGAAGGGAAACAGTAAAATAATACAAATATAAAACAATAAAATTCTCACGACGTTTCGACTGCAACACACGCAATCATCATCAGGTGTGAAAACCACAGCAAGAAAATTTGAAAAAAGTCGCGGTTTTTTAACGTTTGCATCACGGAGAGCGATTTGACAGTTTGTTCAGATGGACGAGTCCATCTATGTTCGGAAGAGAGGAGGGGGGAGACGAAAAATAATGGATGCGGTCTGAAAGCCACCTTAACCGTGATCAATCAATTAAGACTGCATCCATTATTTTTTGTCTCCCCCCCTCCTCTTTTCCGAACATAGATGGACTCGTCCATCTGAACAAACTGTCAAATCGCTCTCCGTGGTGCTAACGTCATAAAAAAAACGCCACTTTTTTCAACATTTTTCAAATTTTCTTGCTGTGGTTTTCACACCTGATGACGATTGCTTGTGTTGCAGTCGAAACGTCGTGAGAATTTAATTGTTTTATATATTTTTTATTTTATTGTTTCCCTTCTACATGACTTTACCGAAAGAACCAAGAATATGAATCCCTGCAGTCACGAAAGCTTTAAATCAAAATTTAACATTAAAGCTGTTTTTATTTCTCCAACGCCAGTTCGCCTTACAAAAGTTATAACGAGTGCCACCAGACTATCCATACGATGTGTTTTCGCAGATAACTGGAAATATTGCTCACATTTAGCACTGGCAGAAAACATCAGTGCAGTGATATTCATGAGTGCACAAAATCTGTACCCTGCAGAGTTTTGTTGTAAAGTAAGTGACGACTTTTCAGGATTCTAACTGCGGTCGCTGTTGAATTTGACCCTTCACACCGCAAATCTACTGGGCCCAAATGCTATCGGTATTCCTTAAGGAGTCCAGGAATTTGAGCTTGTGCATGATCCAGCAAAGCAGGTGACGCCTGCTTTCCTGGTTTAACCCTGTTTTTACGTGTTGCTGCATGCTGCATGGAAGAGGAGGCTTGATACATTCCCAAGGTTGTTATTAACTTGTCCAAAATGAAATGAAGCAAAAAATACTATCATTAAAACTGCATCGTAAATGGTCACATAGAAATTATGGATTTTTCTAATACTTGGCTTGTAGGCCTTTGATTAAAGACTGGACGTGTTTAAAATGCCTGTTTTCAATATATTGCCAAACTTGTATATTTGATCCTCATGGCGGTAGCCCGGGGTACCAAATAATACAAAATGGCCGAGGCAATTAAATATTTTATTTATGGGACACTCCTTTTTTTCCAGGCGTGTACTTAACTCGGCGACTGGGGTACCAGTTAATCCGAAATCAGTGCCACTCCGCGATGTTGAAACCCAGCGAGGACGATTGCGCCGAAACCCTGAACGCTCGCATACGCACCGTGGTGGCGCATAGTGTACAGCTCATCGAGATGAGTCAATTGCCGCATGGCCGACCATCGATACACTAAAAGTGACTGCATCATGGACATTATGCGATGGCCGGGGTACTACGGTACCCCGGGGTACCGCCATAAGGTTAATTTATTCCTAAGCATACATTTAACTTACTGGTTTTTTTTCTAACTTTACAGAAGCGCTGACTTGGCAACTGAAAATGCTAACGCAGTACTTTTAACAAAATTTACCTCAATTGCAGTATTTTTTACGTTATGTATTATGGAAGCATGCTTACGCAAACTTTTGACATTAGACTCTTCAATGTATTATACATAACTTCATATTTTTTCATATATATGACGATATGTGTAATTGTATTTCTGCATCCTGCTTCAATATATATTGTTTTACTTTCTCTTCATTTTTCTGAATTTAATATTGCACACAAAACACAATTAAACTACATCGTTTTAAATGATACACCTTTTCAGCTCGGCTCGGTTTTCTAATGAATTAATTTTTCATTTCGTTCTACCTCATTTATTTTGTCTTCGCATTGTTGGAAAGGTCACATTCAGATCATGGCCATTTGAGTAATGAATACAAGTGGAGAGCATCTTTCATATCCACTCTTTATCTCTCTTAATCTGCTGGAGGTCTCAGATTTTCCAAGCCACCTACCCAAGCCACCTCCATCATGTGGAATGTGCGGAGGTTACACAATGGTCATTGAGGTCCCATGTGTCAGTGCTTCTTCATATCCCTTTGTTTCTCTCATGCTCCTGTGCCCAACTCTCAATCTGCCCAAACAAATGAAACCAAACAATCTCAAACATCCAAGTATTTATACTCCCTGGTTCTTTCGGTAAAGTCACGTAGACAGAAAGAAAAATAAACATGACGTTTCGGTCGCAACACAAGCGTCCGTCTTCAGGATTTATATAAAGCCACAACAGCCGATCATTTTTTCACACCTGAAGGCGGACGCTTGTGTTGCGATCGAAACGTCGTGTTTCTTATTTTGTTTTATTATTTATTTTTCTACCCACGTGACTTTACCCAAAGAACCAGAGAGTGTGGATTCCTGCAGTCACGAAAGCTTCAAATCAAGATCAAGTATTTAGTGAGGCATGCTGCCATCGGTCTATTCTGACCCACGTTCCTGTGAGCTATTGCTGTCTCTTTGAGGCTCTTGCGACCAATGTTGTGATTCACAATTGATCTTTGGGTCACCTCTCCGCATCGAGTAATATAATGTTTGTCGTACGACGTTTCGACTGCAACACTAGTAATCATCATCAGGCGTGAAAACCCGAGCAAGAAAATTTGAAAAAAGTGGCGGGGTTTTTTTTACGTTAGCACCACGGATAGCGATTTGGCAGTTTGTTCAGATGGACGAGTCCATCTATCTTCTTTGGTTCTTTCGGTAAAGTCACGTACCGAAAGAACCAAAGAAGATGAATCCTTGCAGTCACGAAAGCTTTAAATCGAAAGAGTCCATCTATGTTCGGAAAAGAGGAGGGGGGAGACGAAAAATTAATGTATGCTGTCTGAAAGCCACCGTAAGCGTGAACAATCAATTAAGACCCGAAATGGTTTAAACAAGTGTTTTGACTTGTTTTTATTCTCATAATTTCCCGTTTCTGTTTCCAATGTTTCCACCTTTTTTAAAAATAATCTTATTCGGAATTTTTTTTGTTTTATTTCTCTTCATCCTTTTCTTTCTGCTCTGGATACTCGTTTTGTTTATTGTGGTTATATGTTCATAATTTCAAAGGCAGGTGTTGTGTTTGGAAAAAAAAGGGACTTTAATTTGCATCAGCTTCTGGTATCTGGATCCGTATTATTGCTTTCATACTCAGCCACTGTGACACAGTGAGGGCCAGCCAAAACAATAAATATTACCTCCTCTCTTACCCAGTTTTATCTGCTTTTTTTATTTTAGTTCAATTGCTTCTTTTACAAGCATAATCAGGATAATGGTTGATGAATGTTCGAATTGCTGTCTTTCCACTCTGCATGAACTAGAGACATTCCTAAAATGACGTTTATTTTATTTTTGACACATTTTAAAAGGACACTTGATTTTTATATTTCTGTGCAGAGTAGGCACATTCTAAAATTCTTTACCACGTGCATTCACTATAAAAGGAAGCACCATATTCTGACAATGTGAAAACCTTTGGTCAGAACACATTATTTTCCTGTGCTTTTATGATATTTTCAATGTCTTCAGTTTGACTTCTCCCACTTTATTATAATTTTAAATATCTTTTCCCCTTCACTCTCTATATTGCTACATCTAATTTCTCAAGGCAGTTTACATTAAAACATTATCTCAACTTGTGTTTGTTCCTCCGTGTGTCTGTCTGTATCCCCTCAATATTTTTTTTCTGATCTATATCTCTGCCTGTGTCCATAGTTTCCTTCTAGTATCTGTGTGCATTTGTGACTCCGTGGGCCATGTGCATTCCGTCCACGCTGGTGTCACGTCCTCCCTGCTCTGGGTTACGTACACGTTTGTTTTTTTGTCGTCCATGCGCCCGCCCGTGGATCGGTCGTCACCCGTGTGGCCCACCTTTGTCTCTGTCGCCACCACCGCCCGCACCCCCCTCTACGGCCACGCGCAGGAGTACAAAGTCTCGAGCTTTGAGCAAAGGTTGATGAGCGAGATCGAGTTCCGCCTGGAGCGGACCCCGGTGGAGGAATCCGACGACGAGGTCGAGCACGACGACATCCCCACGGGAAGGTGCATTGCTCCGATCTTCGAGCGCAAACTCAAGCACTTCAAGACCTTCGAGGGAAGCCCCATCACGTTCTCCTGCAAGGTCTCCGGCACCCCGACGCCAAAGGTACCGCCTAGATCTTCCGGAAGAGTTCTCCCGTGCCGCGTTCCTGCGCCCGCGCGGTTCACGAGCGGACGCGAGCGATCTCGGGCCGTTTTCCCGTGGAAGTCTTAACTGGCCAAGCCAGCTCCGTTCAAGTACATGTCGCCCACTGCTATTGGACCATTAAGCATTGGGACAAGAATTGAGCCTTGCCAGACTGTACCAAGAATGGCCTGGCAAGGCTTGGGTCTGTTTTTTAATGGCCGTGGAAATGCAGCCCCATTTGGAACATGTGAATTCACATACTAACTCAAAACAATATTAACTTTAAAATATGGCCAGCAAAATCTGTTGAGTTGAAAATGTGGTTGTCCAAGTATGTTTTCAATGTTGTGAATTGGATCTTGGATTTTGTATTTGATTTGTTCTTGGTGTGCATGTTTAGCACGTGGAGCATCTGGAATTTACACAATGCTGGGACTCATAATGTGGAGACACAAATTATGAAAATTGTATTCATATATCAGAGTGCTAACCACTGTCCCACCGTTCCACCATCTTCAAGAGTAAACCCTTCCATACATATCTACATATTTTTTGCGAGAGATGCACAGTTGTAGATCTTAAGAGAAACAAGTACTGCAGCACATGTCTAAAGCCCCTGACAAATTTAATCTGTATTGAAAATTCCTGTTAAAGATTTGAAGCTTTCGTGACTGCAAGGAGCCATACTCTTTGGTTCTATCCGGTAAAGTCACGTAGGTAAAAAAATAAAAAATAAAACAACAAAAATCAATTGTGATTTTTGTTGTTTTATTATTATTCCTGTTAAAGATCTAAACACAGAACTGTGTGTGTGTTGTTATGACAATATTATTGGCTGCAGACACTGGGATTTGTATTTCAAACATTTTATAACGGACATGTAGATGGATTTTTTTTTCTCAAAGAAAAGCTTACATTTCCTGTCACACCTTTAAACATGAAAACATGCTTTATTACCACAGCGATGATAAACTACAGCAATATATTACGCGCAGAAGTCCAAGCAAAGGTTGTGATGTTACCGTTCCCATGCCTAATAAAGGTGCATGCACACAATCTGTACTAGAATGGTGACATTAAAAAACAAACGTGTGGAGACATTCTTCCTCACAACCAGCTCCGAGGCACGACATATGCCAGCATTGAAAGAGCAGAGCCTCTATTTGACTTGAATGAATAGAACAACAGACCACAAAGAGGTTTCAGAGTGCTGTACAGTATAAAAACACAGCGTTCAATAAAAGTCACAAAAACACATACGTAACAAATAACACACAGTGCAATATATCAGCGACAAGACATGGTATTTTCATAATGCTCAATGCACGTCAATGACACACACGATGATAATGTTTGACTTTGAAAAACCAGGTCTCAGATCATTAAAATAAAATTTCATTTCATTGCCATTTATGCTCATGGATGTATAGCAGCAACATTTGAGATGCATAAAAACCATTCCTATATACATTTTGGCTTAATAATAAACATTAAATATTTGTAAAAAAAAAATTATCATGCAGTGTTAAGTTGCTCATATCATGTTGCAGACATTTACAATTCTCACAGGAGAGAGAACGCCTGGAATATTATTTGCCTTACTAAGCAAGCATCTTATTTTTGCTTCAAAGCAGTCTCGAGTTTTATTCCACACAAGGGACTTACATATTGGGCTACTAAACAGATATTGTAAGCTACCGATTCTCCAATCCTTGCATCATGTTTTATTTACGACAGTGGTTCAAGTTTGGCAATGCAAATATTAGCTCTTTGCTTTGTTTGAATGTCGTTGTCATCATCATCATCACCAAAATGTCACAAGTATGAGAGTACACTCAGTAAAGCTAAAAATATCTGCGTTACATTAATAAGAACAGGAACAAAATGTACTATATGTTTGACGGCCATTGGGAGGTTCTGTAGTATCGTGGCTGCCACTGAAAAAGTCCAATCAGTGTAGCCATGTATGGGGAAACCTAGGAATTATTAAAAATACCCTAAATTATAGAGCCAATTGAACATTGATATTTTATCAAATTGAGTCTGCACCAGCTGGCCTCTGGCCTTTACTTGGGCCCCATGAGTGAAAGCTTTAATGCCCGGTGATGTAGATTGAAATTTACTTTACTCCTCAACCCCGGGACCATTGTGAAAACGATGGATTGCAGAATATTGTGCGTGTGTGCGAATGTGCTGTTCCACCGTTCCCTTTCGGCACGCAGATATACTGGTTCAAGGATGGGAATCAGATCTCCAAAAAATCCGAACGCTTCCAAATGCAGCGAGACTCTGAGGGAAACTGCTCCCTGCACATCCCTCTCACAACCATGGATGACGATGGCAACTACACCGTCATGGCTGGAAATCCACAGGTTTGAAGAGCGCACTGGACCCTGCACGTGCTCTCCAATTGACACAATGATAACGATAATTTTCTCAAATCCCCCCTCCCTTCCCCCACCTCTGTCCACCCGGAAGTTTACTGTAAATGTGTGCAACAGTCGGTTCGGCAGGTCGCGTGTGAGTACTCCCACCTCTGCCAAGACGCCTGGTTACCTTGGAAGAGTAGGCCAAATTGCCCTTTCTAGAGCTCCCACTAGTGGAGGAGAGAGCGAGAAATTGTAGGGCTGCCCCTCTAAATTTTTTTTTTATATGCAAAAACATTCAATCATATTTAATTGTACGACGTAAATACTTACGTAGTCAAATAAGTCAATTGTCAATTTGGGGTCACGGTTCAATTCAAGAATAAAATAATATTTGTATCATATTTAATTATCAGCATTGTTTCTTGATTATATTTCGTCATGTTTTTGTACAGTGTTATTCACCCCATTTGTCTAAATGTGTGATTCAGAATAACATTTACGTATATATTTTCGATTAATCGTAAATGATCATCGAATCACACACGTCAATGCGTTTATATGGAGGATACAGTGAGGGAAAAAGTATTTGATCCCCCGCTGATTTTGTACGTTTGCCCACTGACAAAGAAATGATCAGTCTACAATTTTAATGGTAGCTTTATTTGAACAGTGAGAGAGAATAACAACAAGGGTTTTGCCACCAGGTACTAAGTCATGTTTTGCAGAGGGGTCAAATACTCATTTCCCTCATTAAAATGCAAATCAATTTATAACATTTTTGACATGCGTTTTTCTGGATTTTTTTGTTGTTATTCTGTCTCTCACTGTTCAAATAAACCTACCATTAAAATTATAGACTGATCATTTCTTTGTCAGTAGGCAAACGTACAAAATCAGCAGGGGATCAAATACTTTTTTCCCTTACTGTATGAATATATTTTAGTCCATGAATTCAGGCAATCCTGCATGCCTGATATGTATAGACATTTTAGCCATGCCAGTTTAGATGGGCCTACATTCAGAGAGGAAAAAAAACCTTTGTTTAACTTTTAAGAGCATGCACTGAAATAAAATGAATATGCATGGTTATCTATACCACACAAGAACTGTTAAACTCAAATGTATGCGGTCTATGTATTTATTTATTTTGCATCAGAATGCTGTACTGCACCCTGTGTGGGACCGTGAGTGGGTATAAGAGAATGTGTAGAGTGTGTGCCACAATCAATCCATATTAGGTGCTCAACTGAATAGGTTTCAAATGAAACAACCATCTGGACATGTTGTTCTATTCCCTGTATGTTTGCATAGGAAGTACATATACGACTGTTGTGATCGTGTAAACAATTTGGACATTCTACTCCCCTACTGGTTAAGCAAAGCAGCAGACCAGAACTCATTTGAGTTCAACCAACCGCATAGGCGACGCATCTCCCAGGAGGTGTCGCTTATCAAGTTTACCTCGAGATAAAAAGTCAACGGCTTTCAAAATAAGCAGCCTAGCCTCAAGTGGCTTTGTTTTGTGATGGTAAATAACATGCAATGCATGTTTACCATGGGTGAAAGCACAGCGGCTTAGGCGACTATGTAGGCACAATTATGCATCTCCTCGTCATCAGCAATCATGATCTATTCACTGCAGGATGAAGGCCTCTCCAAGCCATCGTCAATCTCTCATGGTCTAGCGACACCGCCAATGTGTTTAGCCACTGCAGATGAGCTGATTGTTTTGCTCCAGCTCCATAGCGATTGTTCTCCTGGGTGTCTTCCCTTCTTTGGCTGCAACTCTCATTTGCCTCGGTCACCAGCAATGATCCCTTCTGGTGATGGTAACTGTGATATCTCTGGCTCGCATTTGTTCTCTGACAATTTGTTCACTTTTCTGTCTCTCATTATTTTTCGAGCATGCATCTCTCCATGCTCCTTTTTAGATGCCCACGTTTCTGATCGATATGTCGTAGCACATCCTGCTATAAAGCTTTAACCAATACACAGTTTCATTATTAAACTATTTTTTTTTTAAGCAATGCAACCTGCTTTGATCTGCTTCCTTACTTCAACATTGTAATTCTCGTGTACTTTGAATTACGAGACTTTTTCTGAAAATTTACCTGGAGAAATAAAAAAAATCATTAACATAAATGGAGAACATATTAAACGTCACAGATTCTATGATAGCATAGTCACTGTAATAACCTATGGAAACTACGCGAAATTATGAATATTTCTTTACAAAGTCGACCTATATGTAAATGTTTATAAGAATATTGTGAATCGTACATTGAATTCTAAATTACCTGTTTGAACGTTTAAATTCTCTGTAGAGTAATACGCTTTGTTGCATCCTCTGCCTGTCTCTTTAAACATCCTGCTCTAAATATGGAAATGTTCACATTGGAGGGGTTTTCCATTTCAATAAAGTAACTGACGCCAAACTTATTTTAAATATCTTTGAAGATAAATGTGCAGAGATTGCTTAATATTAAACCCACACAGGAGGAATAACACATTTAATGACAACATATCGCAAAATGTCCCTTTTTCAATGTTTATTTCCACACGACCATTCCCCCACCTAAGACAGACTAATTAATTATACAATACGGTATAAAAAGCAAAAATGTGCACATGTAAATTTAAAGGTGTAGCCCTGCAATTGCTTACGCACGCCACTTTTGGCAACAGAGGGAGCGCTATTGAGCCACTCTAGAGTGTGGCTGCCCTATTCTACGCTAAGGAGCACGAGTGAGCCACTAGAGTGTGGTTGAGCCATTCTTCCACACTGGCCATTTGTCTTGGAAGAAGCAAGGGATACCCTGCACTTTACCCCACCGTACACGACTTGCCAATCGACGAACTGTCGTGCACCCATTTATTCTGCTAGGAAAAACAAAGGTGGGGGGAATTTCGGGAGCTTAGTGACCTCTGTGCTGTATTATTGTGGATTCGTGCAGCGCTGTGAAGCATTGCGGGTCATCAAATAAACGGACGTCTGCTTGTCTCGCCACAGTATTTCTAAGCATATATACGTGCACGTTCTGTGCTCAAAGGATTTGAGAGTAGTATAACAATACGCGCGTTTGTGATGTTTTATTCACTGAATCTTGAAGGTTTGTTTGTGCTCTTGTTCGTTTTTTGTTGCACTCCGCAGGGTCGCATCAGCTGCTCAGGGCGGTTGATGGTGCAAAACGTCAACCAGCGAGGCCGGGTGGCACGGAGTCAGTCAGGGCAGCCTGCGGCTAGAAGGTGCTACAACAGTAAAGGGCAACTAGTGCTGCTTCTGACATTCACTGTTGTTATTATTATGACATTTGAGTCTCAACACTCTTTTTAAGGAGAGTCCCGCTAACTTTTCGCAATCGGGGGGTGAAAATTGCTGTCTTTCCCATTTCAAAATATTTACCAATATTTGGATTCTCATTTGGACCTTGATGCTGCCACACAGTGGCCTCCTCCTCGAATAATGTCTTGGGATCTTTAACATCCACTGTGAAGGACACATCCCCTGTATTATCCAGAGCAGCCTGCCAGATTCAAACCATGAGTCTCAGTAGCTACTACTGGGCCATGTCACTGCCCAACATACAGCATCATTGTATCCGTACTAATAATGCAGCCAATGTACATTTCCATGAGTACGTGACCTGCTCACACCGTGCAGGTCATGGGGGCCATACTTTACCATGCTGGTCAGTGAGGGTTGGTGAAGGCAAGCTGCATAGATTCTGGAGCCATAGTTCAGCGCAGCAATGGATTTTGCTTCGCCATTCTCTGCTGACAACATAAGTGCCTGCGGGGATGTGATACAGTGATAATATTGCACGATAAAAATAACAGTAGAACAGCTGGGTGGCGTTGTGCTTAGGGCTTGTAATTCGCAAATCAGTGTCACAGTGAATTATTGCTCAATTGGGCATTGAGCCCTGAGCCTGTGGTCAAATTTCCACATTCCTATGACAGGGGCGAGTCTGCCCATAGAGCAACCACTGTTGACCTCCCTACAACCCCCACAAGTTTAATGGGTTTGAGTCAACTGAGTGCAAGCCACTTGCCATACTCCTGAGCCACCTGGCCAGATTCAACAACTCACAACTGGAATTGATTGACATGTGTGAAGTTATCGTTTTGGGTGGCAGAGGAATTACTGTGTGGGACAGTGCTATTGTGTCGGTTACTCGTGAGCTGTCACATGGGTGACACCCTGATGATTCCCTTCCGTCACGTGAACATCAGGCCACGCTCTCAGTCACGGGAGAGCCGGGACGACAGTGACATGGTCCAGGAGAAGAACTTCCGCCCACACTTCCTGCAGGCTCCTGGAGACACCATGGCACATGAGGGCAAGCTTTGTCGTCTCGACTGTAAGGTAAGAGCTTTACGGATGGCTGCTTCTCTTTAATTCCATAGCAATGGCAAGAGCTCTTGAGCATGCAGCACGTTTTAATGCCCCATAAGAGTGCACCAGGCCAGACACTTAATGGCATTTAAGTTCCATTGAACACTTATTCATTTGATCGATATATATTTTTGGGTTATACTACGTGGGAGTTATGCCAAAATTTTTGTCATTACCCCTGCACCAACAGACAAGATTGTCAGATTTTATTTATACATGCTAATGTATTTGATACAATTTTCACCAATAAAGTGCACCAGTGGCTTAAGACTTTTCACGACTGAATTTACCATCTACATACGAAGTTTCGTTCAAAACTTCTTTGATCTTCATCAGGTAGTGATCCCGGAATTCGAGTGATCCCGAAATTTGCCAAACTGCCAAAGCATGGGTCATTTCCACTTTCCTTTGTAATTTGAGTCTGGCTGCTTTTAATATCTTAAATATTGAAAACATGTTTCTTCAAAGAAGTAAATTTTTCAAAGGAATGCATTAAAATTGTTGCCTGGTGTGCTTTATCTTGTCGGGTGGTGGAAGGTTAATAACAATAATTTTAGCACAATAACTATTATGTGGTCAAACACTAAAGAATTGGCTACAAAAACCTACAATTTAAGATTACATATTAATCTCATTACTCCGCTCTGGCAAGCTTGCTTGTGACAAGAAAACATGCTTTGGTATTTAACACAACCAGGTTGTCTGAGATTAACTCATTGGTGTCTTCAGTAATGAGTGAAGGATGTTACAAACAACACCATCCCCCTGAAAATGGTTATTGTGGACTAAACAATCACAAATGTCCTCGCATACAATTTGTCATCTGGGTTTGTGTTTCGTCAGTATAATCATCACAGACGACTTCACTGGAGAATACGTCTAAGGCGTGGAATCTGTCATCCTTTAAAATCTGTCCTAAAGATTGAAAGGTCATAAACCACTCACTCTGAAATATTTATTTCTGAGTTGAAGAATCACAAGTCTCTGCTTTGTGTATTCTACCCAGAGAGAGAAAGGTCCATAAACCTTAGCTGTTAAGGTCAGTCATGGCGTATGACCAAAAACACTCTGCAAAGTCATTGTCAAAGTGTCTCCCTGCACAAACGAGCAGAGCATATAATTCTTCCTTGCTTCTGGCCCTGAGTTTGTGGTGGCAATGTCACGTTCCCATGGCCAGTCTATTAATAGGAAAACCATTGCTGACTTCCCACAAAGTGGCATTAATTTTAATAACCGCAGAGGGATGATGATTCAGCTTCCGAGAGGGGATTTGGACTCGCAACTTTCTCACCATGCATTGAGCTCTTTAACTCGCACGAGCACCACCCAACTCGGATGTATGCATAACAAACATTTCCTTCGTGTCACGGAATTATCCATGTGATTGTATTTTATTCAAGTGTGGGCTTCCAGTTCGTGCCACGTGCTGAACATTCCTGCTCTTGACAAGATGCCCGCACAACAGCGCATGGCAAAAGCTTGAGAGAAGAGGACCTCAACGTGCAGCCTGACCTGGAAGAGCACACGTGAATCACGAGTCACCTATGCAAAAAACCCACGTGCTAAATTGCCTGTTTCACGATTCACTTCCTGTTTAGGTGAGTGGTCTGCCAACCCCAGAGCTGGCATGGGAGGTGAACGGACGGCCAGTGCGACCCGATGCCACGCACAAGATGCTGGTGCGGGAGAACGGAGTTCACTCGCTCGTCATCGAGCCTCTGACCGTGCAGGACGGAGGCCTCTACACCTGCACGGCTACCAACCGCGCCGGCCAGAACTCCTTCTCCCTCAATCTCACCATTGTCGGTGAGAGGCACGGGCTGCGTTCCAGCGACATGCTGCTTGGCAGTCGCGGCAGTGCTGGACGCGGCTAGAAACAGCTGCTTGGGCACAAGCTGGCGTGTAGGCAATTGATGTATGTTTAGGTTTCCCTGTCCAAACTAGCCAATCTGGTCGGCTTGCGGGATGATTTATTTCAAGATGTGGACGTGCTGAGTTTCTCCTGTTTTTCAGAGTGTAAGTCAGTGTTAATGCAAATAGATTCCCCTTGGAAAGTGGTACACAGATCCACACCCCCATTTCACTTACAACTTGCGAAAATGCCACAAATGTACCTCCAGAAATAGAATGTTGCCATAGTGTGCCCTTTTCCACTGAAACCCAAAGGATACATACTGTACTGATAGAACAATTATATATAACATTACTCAACAATCTATAGTGTCTCATAGGACACCTAATCTAAAGTTATATCATGATTGAGGTTTAATAAGTAAACGTTTCACTTTTAAAATAGATTGAAATTAAATACTGCACAGCAAATCCTATATACTATGCACACTTGTAGGCAAGTCAAATAACTTAAAGAGGAGATACAGTCATATATCTTTACTAATTTCTAACAAAAATATATTGCACATATCACCGTTAATGTCATGATCACCATGTATGGTTTATTTATTCCTGAATTAACGTCTCCAAATTCCATAGTCATTTCTCAGCATCCTGTGACTCTACAATCCATCTCACTCATGCGGATGATGTGATGCCATTCACTCCATCTGTGTGGTGGCCATTCTGTTGAGACACATCTCTCGTTTGGCTGCCATGCCATCACTCGACATGTGCATTAGCCATCATATTTTCCCTCAATCTGTCCAGCCCAAGCCCACTTACTTTCCTTGGCAGTTAATATAATGCCTGTGAATTGCATTTATTCATTCATCCGCCCGCTCCTCTTGATGTCTCTCAGTGTCATTCTGAGCATGCATCTCCCTGTACGTCTTTGTGCATTTTCCAGCATTGATAGGCTTCGTATTTTGATCCATCCATTACGGCTGATAGTATTGACTGATTTAAAATCATCCTCTTCAGGCACATCAATATACTGCTTTCCATGATTGACTTCGGCTTCAACCGGTTTGATATTCTACATATGCAGTGCAAATATATTTACATGCCTACAGTATAAATTCAGGATCATTTGGTCACAGCCTGACCTCGGAAGCTAAGGCTCTACAGTATAATGCTGGGATGGGCGACCACCCAACCCTAACCCACATGGAACATGTCGATCGACTGTGATGTAGCCATTTTTACTGGCGGGTCGCTCTCCCACATGCCCTTGCGTTGGTGAAGGAGCGCTAGAGCACAAGTATGAGGCAGTAAACCGAGGAAACGGCACACATGGGCATTCTGGCCTCCCCTGACACTGAGCCGACCGAGCCCGCTCACAGTGTACGGCAGCCGTGAGCCCCAGCACGACCTCCTCTCATGCTCACGTGCAACAGTTTCCCAAGAACCTTCTTCTCCTGCCCACGTCACTCACTCGGCCGCCTCCTCCCCCTCCTCTGCCCCGTCACCCCCCACCCACAGCCAAGCAGCTGACGCGGGCGCCGGTGATCGTCGAGAAGCTGCAGAACACGGGGGTCGCCGAGGGCCAGCCCGTGCGGCTCGAGTGCCGTGTGCACAGCATGCCGCCGCCCACCATCTTCTGGAAGAAGGAGAACGAGACCCTGATTCCGCACCGCGAGAGAACCAGGTGATCTGCTGGACTGTCCCCCCGACCCCGCCCCTCCCCGTCTGCGGAGAGCGAGCATTGTCGCGGTGCCTTCTTGGCAGCGCGACGTGGGCCAACGGGCGGCGCGTTTTTGTCGACTGTTTAGGGAGGTTCGCAGCCGGAGACTGGCGGCCACCCTGGTTAAAACTGTGGGGCGTCGTAACCGAGAAATACGCAGGCATGTTGCTGAGCATATAGTCAGTCGCAACGGAAATTATATGAATGCTGAGCCTCAACAATGACCCCACTGTGTTTTGCTTATGACCACATCACCCTGAATGAGTCCGATCACATAGAATATTGGATGCCTAGCAAGGTTGTGTTTGGTTGGTACGTAAATGAGTGACCACCAGAGTTGTCAGGTTGTTATAGGTAGAAGCCTGAGAGGTGGCCACGTGATGGTGCTGTTGAGTGTTACTCCTAGTGTGCATGGAGGGTTGTCTCCAGGCAGTCAGCTTTCCTTTACACTTTCATGCATGGCATTGGCCCAACATCCCAATACAGGACCCTTCTGAAAAAGGGCCTTGAGAATCTATGAGCAATTATTTCATGCATAAATAATTTCCATTGTGCGAGGAAGTCATTTCAGTGTATTCCGGGATATGTTGTAAAGGATAAAAACGTTAACTTATGTAAAGCATGTATTTATAAAAATCTGATGTCACTTGCTACATTAGACAATTTATAACTTCATAAAACACTTTTTTTTCATCACACTTTTCTTCAAATAACAAAAAATAATTGAGCCTTAAAATAACAATTGTGCAGAGCTATTTGGATATTTCAAGGTCAGTCTAGTTTTCAACAACCTCTGAGAGCCAATGTTTAAGCTCCACCTTATCTTCTGGTCTAAACACACAAATAATTGAGTGCAACGGGTTATAATTTGATATTAAAATAAGCTCTGTGTGCCTGTGAATGTACAGAATGCGGTATTGTAGTGGTTAGCGCACTGCGCTACGAACTTGGCAACCTGCATTTAATCCCCAGCCATGGCTGACATCAGTCGTGGATATTTAAACGGGATCTGGGCCTCCCCTATGTTGCCTCAGCCTTTTTTGATGCAGTGTGTAAACTTTGGCACCGAGGTGAGAAAAGTGGCTGGGCAATGTATCATGGCCATCCCAACCCCTCATCCACCGTGCCAGCCTTCATAAGTGCTTGCCAAGAACACCTGTCTCGACAGCCTGTATGGCTATATTTAGGATCTTTTTTGTATTTGCACAGCATGCACCAGGATCCATCGGGCTACGTGTGCCTGATAATCCAGCCGACCAGAAAGGAGGACGCCGGCTGGTACACGGTCTCGGCGAAGAACAGCGTGGGCATCACCTCCTGCACCGCTCGTCTTGACATTTATGGTACCCAGGCACCACGACACAGCCTTTGCAGGGCCCCACTTTGGAAGTTGGGGGTGTCCTACTTGTGTGTGTGTGTGTTGTATCGACTGTGTGTGTGTGTGTTGACCATGCTTGTCTGCTGACTGTGAATGTCTGTGTGCTGAATATGTGTGAATGTGTGTGTGTGCTGACGGGGGGAGTGGTAGTGTAGCAGTTTGCGTGCTGCGCTACAAACCCACCGACACTGAATTAAATTCCTGCTCATGGCCAACGTCATTGACGATTATCTAAATCGGTCCTGGTTGCTCTATTTTGAACAAAAAAAATATTTAACTGTACAGCATGAAATATAATTATTTAGATTTCATTTATTTTGCTTATTTCAGTTTCTGTATACTGTATTCTAATTGAGATTAATATGCGAGGCAGCATTTTTGCATTGTGATTAGAATTCGACCCAATTAATCCTCATAACACAATCGAACAACATAGATTATCTGTTCTTCATTTATTATTGTTATGGATACAAACCACTGCAGAGAGAGCCAAGTGCTTCCAGGTGTAAATAATGACTGTCTTTATAATATGGGCTCGATAACCTCAAGCTTCTTTAGGATGCTTATGCAATTAATGTATTCATATTATTAAATATATATATGTGTTGTGTAAGTATGCATTAGTTTTACTCAAGTATATTGTTGCAAATGGATATTGCACAATTGATAGATGCCATTTCACTTGTCTAATTTTCAGAAAAAATGAAAATAAGTATTTAATTCCTCATCTAACATGATCATTTCAGTAATGCACTTCATCAAATTATTTTTTATAGTTAACTTTTTTTATGTTTATATTTGCATGAAGTTATGTAACTATGTAATTGAAAAGCCACAGTTGTAATGTAACGTCATCTCTGGCTATGATTTGTGCACTTGGCACTCACCCAGAAGGAACTCTTCCTGACAGATTGTTTATTACTTTTATGCTTCAAGTGGGAAGCATCAATTTTGTCAGGACATGGGAGGAAATTGTGCGGCCCATTCCGACAGGCCAATAACTTCAAAAAATAAATCTCTGACAGTAAAGTGTGAACCTGACGTTTGTCTGGTTTTAAAACATTTATTTCATATCTCATTTTATTTTCTTTGATGATGCCATGTTTTTTGTGACGCCGCAGCTGAGTGGCACCACGAGATCCCAAAGACACGGCGAGTGAGGCCCTCCTCCAGCCGTTACGCGGCTCTCACTGACCAGGGTCTGGACGTGCGGTCAGCCTTCCTGCCAGACCCCAGCCACGCTGGAGCCCAGGGGAATCTGGTTGAGAGCGACGAGCTGTAATGGCTCTTGCACCACTGCCAGCAGATGAGCTCGGTCAGCTCATCTGCCCAGCGTGCACCACTCAGCCCGGCTGTTTGTCCATCATGGGCTCTATCCTGATCAACCATCGTGTCCCTTGCCCGTATGCACATACATGCCCTTGTTTGCCCATAATAACTCGTTGCTTTGGGGCCGTGTCATCGATCTTAAGGTGATCTCCTCAAAAGGCATCAGCCACCAAGTTAATTAACGTTACGAATGACATTCATGGTAACAAATATGAAATTCAGTGTAAGTAAGATAATTGCATCATTGATGTTCTAAAAACAACTACGTTGATAATTTGCGTGTTTTCAAATGCATTATTACCTTGTAATATTTAATACGATACATTATAGTACAATGAATATTCAACTGTCACCTAAATAAACATCTGCAGCCTTATGGCAACCAAATAAAATTAACAATTTTATCATCTAACAATTTTATCATAAAGTGTCCCAGGTTACTGCTTACTGTTGGGGAAATGTGTTAGAAGTGGAAAATCTTTTTTTATTTAGATCTTTCTCCATTTTGAATAAAAAACAATAGAAGAAAAATGTCTGTATTCATAAATGCATTATCTGTCACCTGCATTTTCGATCTGTCTTCATGCCCACAGAACCTTAACTCACAAATATTGAACACAAGGAAATAATTTAAACACTGAAACAACTAGAATATAAAGCTTAATTCAACAGCACTTGCCCCATTTTTTTACAACTTTGCACAATTTAATGCTCGTCAATTTGACGTATTTTAAAAAGAAAATATGTTTCAATTATCAGATATAATACCACATACTCTTAATTAAAGAATTGTATGTATCAAGACATGACAAACAGCTGCAGCCTGGATGGCACAAATGCCATTCATATTGGGAGTAAATGTATAATTCACCAAAGGGCACAGAATCGAGTATATTGTGTATGGCAGGCAATGCATAGTCGGGTAATGTTAAATAAGCTAGGTATTAAAAAGTGTGGGCCAATTTTTACGTGCGACAATCAGTATTAAGAGGACAGGCTTAGAAGTGCCTGCGATGTTCTAAATTGATGTTTAGTGTGCACAAACAGTTTTGTTTTGAGCGAGGATAATCCATTATTTAAATTCATACATATTCTGAGTACTTAATTTGGTGTGTCCGTAGCAATTAAAATATTTTGAAATCGTGGCAAGTAAAGACGATTACAAGGCCATAAATCAGCAGCAATCTTTGAGTCAAATTGTAGAACGAGGAATCGTAATAGATCACAGCATACAGCACCTGGCACAGTCATTCACAAAGAATTACTCATTGGGTTGGCCTTGTCTCTGGAATTTCCAGGCAAGGGGATGACTAAGGCCAGAAAACCAGAGAAAATTACAAAGTGAGATGGACCAGCGTATACATGACAAATTCATGTAGAGGAATTTGTTTAAATGGTCACCTTCCAAAAACTGACATTGGCTCCTCAAACTGATACGTTACAGTGACGGGAACTAAGGTTGTATTGAGCTCACACTCATGATGGTAAGGCTGCTGATGTACATGATGAAATAGTTTTACTCTTACCCTGTGTAAAAAAAACATTATTAAAGACACTGCCAGCTCCTTAAGGTGTTTTTATCCAAATGTAAATCTATGCCATGGCAAACAAAACTACGTTTCTAAAGGTTTGAAGCACTGGTCTTAATGCAGGTAAAAATGAACATGCCAGCTGGTGGTTAGTTCTCATTTCTGTACAGAGGGGTTGTGTCGACGCACAGGTCATATAAACGTACATTTTATAACCCTTGAGAAAAATAATTTCCATACTGGTAGACCATTGTAACGTTATACACCAAAGTGTGAATTTTCTCAGGTTTGGGGCTAGTAATCAATTGGCTAAATAAATTGCCAGTGGACATTCTCATATTCAAGTGAATGTCATAAATTCAGTATTTACCATGTGCCTGTTATAAAGCTCTGAAACATTTTCCAATGCTATGTACAGCAGTAGGATATAGAGAACATTAGGTAATGCAATATTAGATAAATTGGTAATTAAACCTTTTTAACATCATTTAAGATAACTTATTAAATTAACATAATCAACTTAATGAAATAACTCTTTAGCAAATGTATAAAATACAAAAATATAATGTCCAGTTTGTCGGATTTGCTTTTTACATTGCATTTCTTAAGAGTCTATACATTGTAATGTTCATGAAAGCAATGTTTAAATCACAAATATGACAACTTAAAATTGCATTGGTTTAATTTTGCATTAATGATTTTTACCAGTTTTATTTTGTGCAAACATCCAAATTCATACATTTGCAGGTATATTGCTATCCTTTACATGATTCCCATACCATGTCTGAACAAAGCACACACACACACACACGCTCACACTGACATGTACACATACACACTTGCACGCATTCATGTGTTTATTTGTTTAGACTGGATACTCCTGTTCTTTGATGGACCCAACAGCATGGCTAGGCTCCAACGGTGGGGAATACCACATGAGTCACTGCACATGTTATGAATTGTTCAGTGTCAATTGTGGCTGACTAATAGCAGCAATTGCATTGTGGCTCTTACACCCAAGTCACTCACTACACATACATTCATATTGTGAATTGATGACGGTACCTAGTGTTGCAGTGTGTGTCTCAAAATGACAAACCTTTCCAAAGAACAGCTTGGCCTTGCTATGGGATGAGACAACAGAGATCAGCTTTCATGTGGGCAGAGATTTAGCTAGTAGTTGCATGTTGTATCATAATGTAATTAACGTTATTCATATTCACATACGTATACACAGACCTGCTACTGACTGGCACTGACTGTGCTCATGTCTTGTGTGCAATCAAGTATCCTTCCTTCTACTCGCACCTTCTCTAGATTTGGTTTAAGGGTAGGATGTTAATTGTAGTGTGACCTGAATGGGAGTAAAACATGCCCGCGTGATTTTATTTACATTGTCTACACAATATGCCATTGGAACTATTAAATTTGTATCATTCTAAAGCACTCCTTTAGGATTTATTCAGACTTGCTTTGTTTTGTCATTTGACCTTGAACGGTTTTTTTTTATGAGGGTGATGTTTTGTCTGAATAATTTTTAAGACCCTGTATAAAATGTGGAAATTCCTAAATGTACGTGGAACGCTCGAAATGAATTGCAGCAGCATTGACCGGCAACAACGAGGGGGGGTTGGTGGGGGGCAAGCATTTGCAGGACACCTTTTTTGTTTTTAGAAACGAAGGTAAAGCACCCATAGATTGATTCACGCGGAAGACTGGCGGACCCTTTGAGGCGATGAGCCGCAGAAATACACCGTGGCGTGACAAGACACACTTTCGTTTTTAGTGATCATTGCCAAAAAGTTGCGGGCGCCTTCACTGGATTGAGTTGAACGCCTAAGGTGCGTTGCTGAAGGGGTCAGCACAACACGCGGCAAAACATCATTACTTGTGGTAACACTAGCACTGCATTTGTAAGGATAAAAAAAAAACATTGGAACCTATCTAGATTTAGCTTTAATGATTTTTTTTCCCCTTGCAAGATATTAATATCGGTTTGACAGATAAGTGTGAATGAGTTGTCGCAGAAATGAAAATATATGCATCGAAAATTCGCAAGACACCATTTATCTGTGTAGTTCATTGGTTCCAGTGATTCACCCAATCGCTTTCACGTCATGTAAACACGATATATAAGTTAACATCTTAAAAAACAAACATAACATCTATTTAAAGAACATACACTATACAGTATGTGCTGTAGACCAAAGGGCAGTTGCAAAGTTTTTAGAATGAGATAGTCCACTAAAAAATATTAACCAACCGAGCATTAGGTTTGGTGTGAGGTTTTGTGTTTGTTTCTAATACACAGCAATATGATAAGCTCACAGAGGTTTGTTATAACTGTATTGATTGGATGATACAATTGTGTGTATGTATACTTTTCGTATTTCATTCTGAAAACTTGTTTTCACTGCCCCTTGCATCTATAATTATATCAAATAGTAAATTAATAATGAATAGGGACATTGTAGAGATACTGGAAGAGCAAGCCTGTTTCTACATAGACATTCATTTTGAATGGTTATGTTTTATTGCGATGACTATACACAGGAAAAAGCTCATGCATCTGCCACTGTTTTAATAGTTTACTGTAATATTGCAAAAATGTTTTATTTTACTGCATTTAAGAAACCTTTTCTCTGCTGTATAAAAAAAATAAAGTAAACAAAAACATTCAGACCTTTGTAATTTTGTCAATTAAAACATTGTGTTTTTAAATGTCATTTATTTGTAAACAATTTTGTAATGGCCACATATGACAGTAGAATGTGATTGACAATGTGATTCAATGTCCTTTGTAATGATTTTTTTAAACTTGCTTCATTACCTGAAGTGTGTTGACCTCGTGTATTCAATTGTGCTGCAGAGATAACAATGGGAAAGATTTGGCCAGGAATTGGAAAATGCCATGCTGTGTGAAACCATCTGAGTTTATTTGCATGTAGATGTAATCAAACGTATCAATCACATGTCATGTACATGAGCCAATTTTTTGGCATTTTAAAAATCCTACCTGCATTAGTGTTTTTGTTAAATGTTTTCATAAGAACCATAATTAGATGACCTTATGAAATAAGTACTCTAATTAATTTCTACAATGTTTTTTTCTCATTGAACCGAGCAGACAATACCATTGCTTCCCACGCATCCACACCCCCGTGCCCAAGTAGAGATGTTTAATTACGTACACCTATTATTGTATGTTTCACCTGTGGGAAGAGAGCTGGAAATATCACACGTCTAAGACAACACTCAGAAATTATACCACTGCAACTTATATTGACTGTAATATCTAACTTCTCATGAATTAGGTTTCATATTTAATTTTTTATCTTTCACCAAGCAGATGCACACATTTACTTTTCACATTTTGTTTCTCTCTGTGATGAACATTTGTGCACCTCTCCTTATGTGAAAATGTTTCGCTGGAATATGTTTCTTAGTGTCCAAGACTCGAAGTTCAGTGTTACATCTGCAGAAAATATCCACGTCATCTTATTGCCTGCCTCTCAAATGTCGCCTCACCAGTTTCACAAGCAATGCCACGGGACATGCGTCGGCCGACAGCTCCTGTTAAGGGTCGAGAAATGTCTAGTAGTGGAAGATGCAGAGGCAGTGTCTGTCGGAAGTTCGTCACGCCAAAGTGTCCATTGTATTCAGTAAAGGAACGGATTGTTTTCTTTTGTTTTAAAAAACAATAAAGCCCTTCATCTACAAGTGTGTTGCTGCAAGAGCTCTTGTCATGCATTAACCACTGGCTCAACACACACTTTTGATTGTTAAATATTCATTCCAATACATATATCAAATCGAGGCATGTTTTTAGTTAATAAAATGTCTTTGATGGAGGTCAAGGTGTGACCAAAGAAAATGCCTGTATCTATATTACGTGTTTTGGGCACACGTGCCTTTTGGATGCATATTCAACCATGCAACAAAGCCAGCATGCATTTGTGACTCATTGATCCGTCCTCTACTATTTGCTCCGGGCAAAGCAGTAATACGTTCTCAGCCTGCAACAAAAGATGCCATCATATGTTAGGAGCATGGATTTGATATCACTGTGGAACAATTTTTTTTTTGTTCCTGGGTAGTAAGTCTTATTTCCTAATTGCTTATGCCTCAAAAGTACAGAAATTAGATATTATTCCCCTCAAACTTTGCCTTTGTGACCTGAACTGTGATATTTAGAAATGTACCTATTTTCCAGAACATTCCAGATAGATTCAGTGCTGAGTAAACTTGGAGTAACTTCTAGAACATTCTAGAACTTTCCAGTAATATGAATAGGAGTATAAATACAGGGGGCCTTAAGCCCACCAGTTCAGTTTAGTTCCAGCTGCCTAAGTGGATACATAACTGCATATTTTTCTGAGATGGCATCAAGAGGCTGCAAGCATCCGGCAGATGCATTTTGCTATGTCTGCGGCCAATTTATCAAGACAAGAGCGAACAAGTACTCTGTGGAAGCATCTGCGAAGATGTGTGAGGCCTACAAGGCATATTTCGGCATGCCTGTCGGGGATCGAGACAAACCCTCGGCATCTCATTTCACCGTGCGAGCAATGCAAAAACAACTCTGGAAGGTAAGATGTACAATTGTTGCTCGGGATTTTATGTTATAAAATTTGTTAACAGTTTTTAAATTGTAAAAGTTTTTAATTTTAAAATGTTTTACAATTTTCAATGTTATTGAAAAAATATATCACGTGAAAAATGTTGCGAGAATCGCTTATACATGAGTCATGGGTGAAATGTATTTTTGTACAGAGGGGGAAAGAGAACCATGAAGTTCGCTATCCCAAGAATTTGGCGAGAACCCACTGACCACTCACGCACCTGGTAATTCTGCATGGTGGACCTTCCAAACGTCGGGCTGGCAAGAATGCACCTGCTATCACATATCCGGACCTTCCTTCATCCATCGCCCCGGTGCCACACTGCCATGAGCTCCCCATACCCACTCCTCCGGAGAGAGAGCACCCGTCTTTAGAAGAGAGCAGCAAGTCAGAGAGCGAGGAAGACGTAGATCCAGATGACAATTTCAGAGGTGGAGCTGAGGAGAGAAACCCATACTACCCAACCAAAAAGACCTCAACGACTTGATCAGAGATCTAGGTCTCATCAAGTCCAATGCCGAGCTTTTGACGTCTAGGCTCAAGCAGTGGAACTTGTTGGATGAAAGTGTGCAAGTCGCAGATCAAAGGAAGCGTCACCAACCTTTTTTCAGCTTCTTCACCCGTCAAGATGGGCTCTGCTTCTACCACAATGTGACCAGTCTGTTCGAGGCAATCAGAATCGCCTGTAACCAGAATAAGTGGCGCCTCTTCATTGACAGCTCATCCAGAAGCCTCAAAGCCGTGCTGCTCCATAATGGTAACAAGTACCCGTCTCTTCCCCTGGCTCACTCGGTGCACCTCAAAGAGGATTACAACACCATCAAGGCCTTGCTGGACGCCTTAAAGTATGATGAGTAGGGCTGGGAGGTCATCGGAGACTTCAAAATGGTGGCATTCCTGATGGGTCTCTAAGGAGGTTTTACCAAGTTTCCCTGCTATCTTTGCCTTTGGGACAGCAGGGACACCAATGCGCACTACCACAGGCGGGACTGGCCACAGAGGACCGAGTTCTCTGTGGGGAGGAACAACGTCAAGTGGGAGCCACTGGTGGATCCCCGGAAGGTGCTGATGCCACCACTGCACATCAAATTGGGCCTTATGAAACAATTTGTCAGAGGTGTAGATAAGGAGTCGGCAGCCTTCAAGTAACTTCAAGACTTCTTCCCTAAGCTGTCTGAGGCAAAGGTCAAAGCCGGTGTCTTCGTAGAACCACAGATAAAGAAGATCCTGGAGTGCCATGAATTCCCCAAGAAGCTTACTAGTAAGAAGAAAGTGGCTTGGAACGGCTTTGTCGCAGTGATTCGTGGCTTCCGGGGCAATCACAAGGTCAACAACTATGTGGAGCTGGTTGAGACTGGTGAAGAACTATGGCACAATGGGCTGTAGGATGTCCCTCAAAGTCCATATCCTTGATGCTCATCTTGATAAATTCAAGGAGCACATGGGAGCGTACTCCGAGGAGCAAGGCAGCGCTTCCACCAGGATATACTGGGCTTTGAACGCCGCTACCAAGGACAGTATAACGAGAACATGATGTGAGACTATATTTGGGGGCTGATTCGTGAAAGTGATTTTTACAGTATAATCGTAAATCTCGAAAAACTACTCACTTCGAAATCTTTTGTAGTATTTTTTGTATTACTTTAGTATACATACATGTTAATTTTGATTCATGTTGTTTTTCTGACTTTACGTGAACGAAAATACACAAATTCGCCCGTTTTTTAATTGAAAATAGGTCAATTTAAAAATATCACTGCCCTGGTCACAAAAGCAAAGTTTGTGGGGATTAATAGCCATTTTCTATCCTTTTTAGGCATACGCAATTACGAAATAACACTTATTACCCACGAAAAAAATGTGTGTTACATCGTATTCTAAATACAAGTCACTTGAAAAGAGGAATGTCACACTCCTGCTCCTGGGATTGCAGTGGGCATATTTCTCTTCATCCCAGACTGCTGCCATGCTACTGGTTGCAGTGCTGAGGATAAGCATCCAGGATAGCACTTGTTGAGTAAAAGAGCTTTAACTGTCTACAATGTTCAGAATTACATTCAATATTGGCATCAGCATCATTAGCCATTGTATATAGTTTTGTGGCCAGGCAATCATTTGTGGTCAGGTCGCTTCTGAAAAAGATGCGTTTCTATGGCAGTTTGGAATGCTTTTCCATCCAATATTAGAACGCTACCGGAGCTTTTTTCTCGAGCATACGACAAGTATGTGCAAATCACACGTCCAAGTTTGTCTGTAAGCCATGCGATAGCTCCAGGAGTAGCGTGACTAATTCTGCTCAGTCTGCCGTAGAGCGGCGTAGGATGCAGTTGTTCGCAATGTGATCGATTGTCTGGTTCGGTTGGCCGCAGGCACACTGTGGGTTGTCTTTAATTCTCCACTTGTGGAGGAGGTGTGCGCAGCGACCTGTTTCTGTTCTGAAACGGTTGATGGAGCACCATAGATTTCTTGGCAGATCAATGCCGTGCATTGCAATCGTGGGGTCGTCGATGAGGCTTTTATTTGGAATGTCCACAGAACTCCACAGTGTTCACTAGCGGTCTTCAATTGACCCCGTTTCATTCAATGGTCTCGCACGATCCCAGATTGGTCTCCGGGATTTCAAACGAGTTAATGGAAGGTCAAACAAGTCTTGTTGTAATGGTAAATGTACACTGCCTCGGATTTTTTTCCAATAGGTTTGCTGTCGCTGCATCCCAGAGGAGGTTTGCTGGCATTAATGTTGGCCAGAACCGGTACCCACTCAGTGGGAGTGCATTTCAGTGTGCCCGTTATTGTTCGAAGGACGCTGTTGATCTGGAGGGCGGTCGTGCAAATAGTTTTGGTGGCGGCTCCCCACGTTGTACCGGCCAGTTTGCGTAACAGAGCCCCTCTTCTTTTATTTTTTTCACACACCTTTCATCAAGTTGTACACCGTCAATAGCAGTGAGATAGGCCTGTAACTTGAGGCCTGATCTTCTGGCTTTCCAGGTTTCAGCAGGGAGATGACCTTTGCTCCCTTCCAGGCTCTGGGGATTGTGCCACTTAAATCGAGACTTGTAAACAAGGCTGCCAGCCAGTCTTGGCCGACAGGTCCCAAGTTTTTGAGGAATTCCGGATAGATGTTGTCTTTGCGCGTGGCTTTTTTGGCTTTTGGTGGCCAGAAGAGCATCAGCAATCTCTTCCCTTGCGTATGGATGGGAGATCGTGGAGCTTAATAGGCTCTTTAAGGTCGCAGTGAGATCTTAGCGCACATATTGTTTGTGTTACTTGTTCATTGCGGCTTTTGTGCAAGCGAGGAGGTGAGAGGTGATTTGGTTGGCGGTGACTTGTGGCGCCTTTTTTATAGGTTTTAAGCTGGCGCCAAGATGGTAAAGAAGATTCCACGCTTTGCGGCTGTTAGTGTGCAAAGTTAATCTCAACTTTTTATCGCCATGGCTGTTGTCTGTCCGAATTTAGAGCCTCTAATAGTGCTGATGCCTTTGTCTCGTCGCCAGTTCTTTTGAACGCTTTCAGGAGTTCATCGCTCTCCAGATTCCACTGGAGCTATGCACTTTGAAATCTAGATTGAAAACTAATTTCTTTAAACCTTGTTTTTGTGTTAGTTTTTTGTCCTTCCACCGCACCTCTGATTAACTTGGTGACTATGTACGACGTGAAAGAAGTTCAAAATAGGAAATAGTTTATAGAATAAAATAAAAATAGGAAATAGTTTATAGAATAAAGACCTCCACATGCCATCCTGCAAATGCCACAATAATCTTCACTCCTGCACATGAACTGATCCTATAGCTCCACCTTGTCCTCATACCCAGTGAATCTTCGCACATCCTCTACTGTCACCATCCCATGTTAAGCGATGGCTGGTGGATCCAGAGTTTCTGGGTATTGAGAATGATACTTTCGCTGCGTTGATCATGGGGGTTATTTGATTTGATTTTACCATGCGAGTTGATGAAGAGAACACATTTAAAAAAATATATATATATTTCTGTGCTTGGATTGCTTGCCTTGTTAAAGCTGTATTGTTTACCTTGGCCTTCAGGGTTATCAAGTGAGATGAAGAATCCATTCGAAAATCTCACAGAGCAAGCAATGCCA